TTTTTAAGCGACTGGGGCGGAAAAATAGCTATTTTTAAATGATTGGATCATTATTAAACAACTGAGGTGTATAAGCATTTTTAAATAATTGTGTGATTAGATTCTCAAAAGGTGAAAACAGTAACTTAGACAGCAGCCAATTCTGAATTCTATTGATATTTATGTAAATATGCTCTAAATATTCATCACTTATACTTTTCGATGTAAATAAAATCAACACAATATAAACTTTTTTTCATTCAACTTTGAAGCATTAAATTATTTTAAACAATGAATTTATGGATTAGGAAAATCCATCTACAATTATCCGACAATTTCATGTAACATAAGCAACACATATTATATTTCATACATGAAAAAATGACATTTTGTTACAAAAATATTTAGTAAAGAAATAAAATAAAAAATATTTAACAAATATTTAATAATATTTAATATTTATTTATAATATTTAATAATACTTTTACAAAGTATTATTAAATATTAACAAATATCAAAAGTACATACTTAAATCTGATGTTTTTTGTAGTACATTTTTCGGGCATGCATCAAAACATTCAACAGCTTTTTTTAAAAAAAATCTTTCAAAGAGTAACATAATTTATCGATGTCATGCTGTGATTGGTTAAGGATATTATCAAGCAATCATTCTGATTAAACTTTACACACCATACTTTTATTTGTACGCATCTAAACACTATAAAAATTGTTGTTGGTATTTTGATTTTGGTATTATTGGTATTCGCTCAGTTACTTCATAAATATAAAAAGTCCCGCAGTAGACTGATCGTTAAGACACGGTTCCCAGCAGATCACCGAAGTCAAGCATCACTGGCTGTGGTCAGTGTGCGGGTGGGTGACCATTTGTCCCATGACTTCAAATACTTTTAATTACTTAAATAAAACTCCGAATAATATATTTGTGCATTTAAGTTAATTTACTATGTATTTTATAGTAAAAGTGGTTACAAAGAAGTTTGTATTTTAAATGTAACATCTGTGTCTATCGTTTAACATAATGTCTAACGTAATGTCTGTGTAATATCGGTTAAATGCGCCAGATGCAACTAAATTGCTACGTTCAAACCTTCTGTGCCTCTTATTTAACTGTAATAAAATTATTAAATCGACTGTTCAATAAAAATAGTTTTAAGTTATCTAGTTATATGTAATCTGCATAGCTAACATTTTAAAACTTACTTTTGAGAAAAAAATCAAACAGTTAAATGCTATTTCAGTATTTATATCCCCTCTGTTCTTCCACTATGTTACCATGTTCATAGCAGATAATTGGAAATGTAGATAGTAGTTCAGGTTTATCGATTTTCGTTTCGTAATTGTAATGCTGCTAATAATTTTTATTATATTTAAACTATAGAAATAAGAAATAAATGTAATTTTTTTTCCTGATTCTCGCTTTCTTTCATTTTTGTTTTTCGTTTAAGTTTAATATTAGATAATAATATGGGGAGGATTGCTTTCAACTTTAATTTATTGACTTTTAGCTCAGTATGTCATTACGTTTTACGTTAAAGGGAATATAGGTAGGAAAAAATTTGCACAAGCAACAATCTTTCTCCACTTATTTTCTTCCCCTCTGTTACTTTTTTCCACTCCATTCTCTACCATTTGTTAAACTTTATTTCACTCTATAATTTAACTGAAAATAATTTCAGTGATTTGCAGTGTAAATTGGACTAGCTATGAGTCATTTTATTTTAATATTAACTTTAAGTATAAAATAGTTTATTTAATAAAAGCTTGCAATTTTTTCATAAATAGTAACAGCGGAGAATTAATTTTATCTTTACACATAATAAATAAAATTATAATATAGAAAAATAATTGATACTGCATGTTGGTAAAAATGATGTAGGTGCTAAAACTTTACTACTTCAGGTAAATTGTTTTGTTTTGTTTCTTTAAACATTTTTTTTAACATTGTTAAAAGAGGGGAACAAAATGCAGATTTAAAGTAATGATTTACATTTCTTTTATTAATTTACGTCTCTAATCCAAAATCTCACTGCTGTATTAAGTTTTTAAGTGCAAGAAACATTCGAATTGCAGATGAAATTTCAATCGAATATTTAATTTTTATAAATCGAATTGAATCAAATATTTAATTTTTAGGAAGAAAAGTTTTTCGAAATTACCCAACTTTCAACAATCCACATTTAGATAGAATTAGATATATATTAGATAGAGAATAAAGTGGCACTAAAATTCTACTATGAGGTAAATTTAAAACTAATTGTTATCAGAGCTTAAAATTTAGATCAGTGTTATACTCCTGCGTTTTGAAAACTACGCAGTTAAAAATCTGCGCAATTTAAGTGATACAAATTAATAATGAGGAACAAAACTTGTGGAAGCTGTGACTAATCACTATCGAGATCATTAAAATCAATGGAGGGAAAAAATTATCTACGACCAGTTAATTTAAGAATGGTATTTAAAGGCGATATCTGGCGATGAATGAATATCTTCCGATTCCGTTCATCAAATAAATTGGTTTCTGATTAGTTTAATCTTTACTTAACTCATTCGGATTTAAGTAGAAATGATTGGTCAGAGTATTTTTAAGCATTCAAATAAATTTGCGACCACTAATTTGTTTAGTCTATTGTCCATCATTTTTAAAGGCGTTTTGAAAAATATATATTTAGGGCTGCCTTAATAGAACACTCTGTATTTCTCACTTCTCAACTATCCCCTAAAATCTAACTACTTTCTAAATTTTAACACAGACACCCTTCATCGATCGCTTTTGATCAATTTATTACAATTTGATTTAAATAATGTGTAAAAAAAAGTAAATACTACGATTACATTCAACAACTTATAAGAATTTAAATTTATGCTAGTTTGAAGAGAAAAAAAACATGGAAACTAAGTCAGAGTTTGCTTAAAAATTGTTATTTAGGAACATATTATTATTTTTACTACCGTTATTATGGCGAGCATTTATTACGAAAATGATTCTTGATATTCACGATTTGTTTGATAATTAGAATAAGGTGGCCGAGCCGTTAGCGTGCCTGATTGCGAAGCCAATGACTGCTGGTTTGGAAGCAATGGATGTTTCTCCGTGTGTTGTCCTCTGTTGTGTGCGATGTGCGGATGTGGCCCACCCTATGAACGGGTATCTGTGGCAGTCATATANTACTTTTTACTCGTTACTTTTTAAAATAAGAACTTTTTACTTTTTACTCGTTACTTTTTTTAAAAATACTTGTACTTTTACTCGTTACTTTTTAAAAATAACGTTGCCATATATGGTGGCAGTGTGGTGCGAATAATGTTGCTCGCCTCCGTGACTTTGGTCACAAGGTGCTCACCAGACAGCGAGAAATGAGCAAAACTTCCTGCACTTCCCATGGCGTAGAACGATAAGTTCAGTGCAAGTCGTTAAAAGAAAAGATAATTAAAATAGATTTTGATAAATAGCCATAATGTCATTGGTATTAGACTTTGTGGCTCAAGGCATGGAAAGCTCAGCTCGTAATGTGGTGAGCAAGGTTCGTTCCCAGAGATTCCTAGGCAGTAAGAATTCTGCTTCCAGCTCGCATCGTCCACATTGCCGGTGTAAAATATCCACTTAGGGCTGAGAGGTTTTCGTTAATTTTCTGTTTATATAACGCAAATGCTGGTTAGTTCCATTATTAAAGTCCACCACGAAGGTTAGTTTGTCACACTGCTTAATAATGAGATCCCTTGTCTTCCGGGTTGATTTAAAAATTACAAGGCTATGAAGTTGAATATTGATAGTCATAAACCCAAAAAGGGATTGGTTGTTCAACACTGGTAATAAAATAAAATAAAATTTATTTGCTATTGTAGAAGTGCTAATGCTGCTAACTGTTATTTATTGCTTTTATTTCGTTCTTAATACGTCATATTTCTAATCAATTTAGATAATTAATAAATAAGCATAGCATATTATGCATGACCCTAGCAATATATTGTTTCGTATTCTGATCAAAAAATATTCTGGGAAGCAAATAAACAAATTAACAAATAAACAAAAGGAAAAAATAAAAACAAATTCCATATTAATGAAAAATGTAGTTTGTTTTAAAAAATGAATCTGGGAGTTTAGAAAAAAATATTCTAGGTAGACAAAATTTTTCTAGTTTAAATATGTATGCCTTATGTTTTACATATAAAAAAAATTACGTATTCTTCTTGAATGTGTACCTATCTCATGTTTTCGAAGCAAATATCAGAGATACACAAGTGGTTTCGATTCAACTAAATTCAAGACAAACTTTATGTAATTATTTAAATAAGTTAAAACCAATTCTTTGCGAACATTTTATAATGGTTAAATAAATTAATTCGACTTTTTTGCTAGCCTTGTTTCATGAGAAGAAGATATTGCTCTCCTGTCCATTTGAACCCTTAGGTCCTTTCACTTAAGTGCATTACAAATGCTCAAGAAAATTAATACGCGTGAACATGGTAATAAGCGAGTGATCGTAGTGAATTGGATGAAGAATTATGCAAAAACTCACAGAATATTAAAGCATTCGCTAGTTACCTGTGTAGGAACTCGCAGACAAACGTTTGGAATCGTAACTGGAGCTGTCAAAGTAACTCATCGATTCTTGCTGGCAATTCGATTCAAAATGAACCGTTTGTTTTGAAAGACGTGCCTGAAAAAAAAATTGATACAAAATTTTATAATGTAATCGAAAATTTTTAATCTTAAAATCTAACAAAATTTATAATAAATATATTTAATTTTGCTTCTCATAAAATGTCAGCTGTGCAATAAACAAAATTTTGTCTTTATTTTGAGATTAAGAGATATATTTTTTTCATTAAAAACAATTAATGTCTACTAAATTAAATAAAAATCTTATATGATTAGAAAAAAATAAGCTTTTCTCTGAAAGTTAAAGAAATAATTAATAGAGTTTGCATTTTAACAATTTTTGTGAGTCCAAAACTATTTGTAAATTTGTATATGTTTTGGTAAAAAAGAAAAAATTTCTTACCCTTTTGTTTATCTGCTCCATCTTTAGTATGTGGTTTTTAACATGTTTTCTTAAAGAACTTGGATCCGTATACCTTTTTGAGCATCCTGGCTCTTGACAATAATAGGGTTTCTGAAAAAATATAAAAATTAGTGTAAGTACATGCATATTTCTTTTTTAAGAAATAGCCGAATTTCGTGTTCATGCACATTTTGTAGACTGTGAGTAGAAAACATCATTAAAGGACACATAAAGACCTTATATCTGTCGTAACCTACTCTAAAGTCCGGCTCCATACAAATGTCATTGGTATTTTGTTCCAGGGTTGGTGGAAAAGTCTTTGGCATTTTCTTACCTGCCTTAAATGTTTTAGGCTTATTACTATCAGCCTATATGTCTTTTAGGCTATTTGGGAAGTAGGCAAAAAATTAATCAGACTGAATTTACTCAGGATTATTGCAATAAAGATAATTTGCAATAAGCCTATACTTTTTTCGGCTTATTGCAAACTGCCTGAAATAAATTAGGTTAATTCAAGTATAAATTATATATATATATATTTTAGTTATCCTAAAAGTACTGGCGCTCGTAATAACTTGAGCCCAACCCTAAAAAGTTCCAGACAAATTAGAAAACTCACGAGACATTGTAGGATAACTGGCTGATTGAAAATAGCCGGTTTATTCAATTAGCCTATTTCAGCCAAAAGTTACTTGGATACAAAGCATGTCTTAAAGATTTCGTTTTAACCAAAGTTCGAGTATTTAATAATAAGATTCTTCGCGACAACCATGTTTCACTTATCCAGGTGGAAAATGAAAAATGGGAGTGTATTTTTGCTATATCTGTAATATTTCAATGACTTCCACTAGTCGTCATTTAAAATCTTTGCTGACCACAGTCAATTGAATGAGTTGCAGCTTAAATTAGCCCGAAAATGTGTATTTTAATTCATCCCATTATTGGTGAACAGAGTAATAAATTTAAATTTATATACAGCTCATTAAAGCCTATTTATACCATTATGTTATTACAAAATAAATTGTAATAGGATCGATGCTATTGAAAGAGAGTATCAATAACTGTCAATACTATTAAGTGTAAGTATTGATAGTAACCAATCGAACACAAGTATTGCTGTCAAATATCGATCAAATATTGATTTATAAACAATTCATTTTACTTGTAATGTATAGGAACTTATGGAATCTTTATATGTAAGAAACCTTTTTCAGCATTCAGTAACCGTTATTCGAATTTTATAACTGTTCGCTCAATCATTTAATGTTAAAATTTGATATCCTCTGCATCATATCGATATCCTTCTAATTTATATCAGTTTCAAATTCGTAATTACTTCTTTTATCCATTAATGTATAAATTCAATATCTTCTGAAGCATTCTCTTTTATTTGAGTTTCGAACTTCTGATTACATATTCCATTCAATAATGTAACAGATAAATTTGCTCATCGTCTGAGATCGTCGAAATATGTAAATTGAATTATGCAAATGTACTTAAGGCTGTTTTTCGAAGCCTCCGTCGTAATATGAAATGATGTTTTTTTGCGATTAATGTGCCATTTTTATAACTGTTGTGAGTTTGCAACTGTTACTCATGACTGTAAGGTTAATATAGGCTATCTAGAGCCAGCGTTGTCTTCGCTTATTTTGAAAATGGCGCAAAACGTCCATATGGAGAAAAGCCACAGTTCTGTGAAAATGAAAAGCGTTTGTGGTCTAATTTTTTAATATTTAAAAACTTTCTCTATTGCTACCTTACTTGAACTCGTAGAAATTTGTAAAAAATAAGAATAAGGCAGAGATTTGGATAATTTTCATTTGGGTAAAAAAATGGCGATTTTTAAAGAAGTTAAATAACTTTTAACAAATAACAGATAATTTTTCACAGCAAGATTATGTATATAGTTTAAAATCATCTCACTGCTTCAAGTGTAAGGCATTTAAACTATGTTTTTTTTAATTTCTTCGCAGACAGAGCTTCGGAAAACAGCATTAAAAAAACAATCTACTTTTCTTTTTAAAAAAAAATTTCACTTTGTCTGGTGTTCTACTTTCAAAACATTTTACAGAAAGTAAATAACAATTCTAAGACTACACTTCTTTTCCTAAAAGATGAAAGATCAATTCTTACAGAATCTTGATGCGTTCTTTGATGCTTGGCACGATCCGAAGAATTACTGAAAGCCTTCGGGCATCCCACATACTGGCATTGGTAAGGTCTTTCGCCTGTGTGGGACCTAAAGTGAATCTTCAAGTTCTCCAATCTAGAAAATGCTTTATCACAGCCAATGAACTAAACGGAAAAAAAATAATCAAAACTAAAGTAAGAGTTAAATGCAATTATTGATTAAATTAAATTAAATTTTCTTATAATAGGATTTTTTCTTACATTTTAAAAAGTCAAGTTCATACTAGATACAAAGTAAGCATGAATAAATGAGTGGAATTTAAATCTTTATATTTTTTAAAGTACTGCAAAGATTGCAATAAATAATACTCAAATTTAAAGAAAAAATACCATGTATGTTTTCAGCTGAAAATATTCTATGCTTGGGTCTTTACAGGACAAACATTTAGCAAACATTTAAGTTAAAACATCAACTAACATTTAAGTTCAGACAAACATTTAAGTTCACTTCACACATTTTGTAGATTCACACTAGTGTTTCTTGAAGCTGCACAATGTAGCACAGAGGCTTTGTTTAAGTTCACTGTAAAAAATTCTGTTATATTACGGAAAAGCAAAGCTGGTAATTTCTGACAGCAAAGTTGCCAGAGATTACCTTCTTGCTACGGAAAAAGCATGTTTGCAAGAATTTCCTGTAAAAAAAAAACAATACAGAAAGTGTTTGTACACACCACATATTTTTCCTAATTCAGGGTACGGTAAAAAAAAAATTATGAAGGTTTGCTAAGGTGAACTAGGTATTTAAGGAAGGTGAACTAGTTATTTAAAATTTTGATTGGTTTTTAATATTCCATTTTTCGTGTTATTTTTCTTTCGCGCTTTTTGAGCTTTTTAAAACAATCACGTTGAAAAGAATCGTAGTAACTTTTTTTTTTATATTTTCGATTTTTTATAATTTTAATGTTTTATATTTTTTATATTAAGATCAGACATCCCGAAACGGAATTCAAACTCGGGACCTTCCTGGTATGAGGGCAACTTTTTGGCCACTATACAGACCTGTCGGCATCTGTTTCAGTGTATTTGTTGCTGCTTTAATACCAANAAAGTGAACCACCTAAGAGAACAAATATCTCTATTGACACATTACGATGTAGTTTAGCAGTAAATTTCTGTAATTTTAGAGAATGGAAATTTTCTGTTTCAAAGTTACATAATTATTACGTTTTTAACAAAACATTTTTGCAGCGTTGTTTTTAGCGTGAGGGTCTTGAAAACAGTATTTGTGTGTCTTAAAGCGTATGTGATTATGGGTAAATCACTTGCTATTTGGATATTGACTTATTTAATGACTTGGATATTGTTTAAGAGCATAACTTGGATATTTTTAAGGGATTAGATGTTTGTCTTGCAAAACAGGGTGATACATCGAGAATTTTTAAATAAATAAAACTTGGTGTATTTTATTTTAAATTATTGTTTCACTTATTTTAATATGTGTATTAGTTTCAAGATATAAATATTTAAATTGCATTCATTTTCTTCTTTGTGCTGATTCCGATTCATATGATAATTTTTACCATTACAAATATAAATAGTTTATTTTTGTATATTTATCCATATTTTACTGAAATAATACATTTATATTTGTAACCATTTTCTTCCCTTAACCATTCAATATTTGTACTATTGCAAATACACTATCTGGAAGAAAGTGACGGGACAGCTGTAAAGTTTGGTGGAGGAGGATTGATGGTATGGGGCTGGCCCACTGGTGAAGGTAGATGGTATGATGAATGCCGATGGATACTGTGATATTCTCGACAATCATGTTCTTCCTACCTTGTGAGCAACGTACGGTATGGATGATTGCTTGTATCAAGACGACAACGCAAGATCCCATGTTGCAAGGAGGACTCTTGATTGGTATGTGAACAACAACGTTAAACGCATGGAGTGGCCGGCGCAGAGCCCTGATCTTAACCCAATTGAACATCTCTGGGACGAATTGGACTGTCGGTTGAGGGCCTGCCCCCCACTCCCCAAAAGCAAGCATGAACTATGGATATTAATTTTAATAAATATGAGTTTATGTCGTTATGGTGTCGTGTCCCGTCACTTTCTTCCAAATAGTGTATAAATAGTTTATTTTTGTACGTTTATCAATATTCCACACAAATAAAACTATTATATTTGTAACCATTTTCTTTCATAACCATTTCATCATTGTACTATTACAAGTATAAATAGTCTATTTTTGTAAATTTATCTTATACTTAAATGTTTTATTACACTTAAATGTTTTATTTAGCAAAAATGAAACATTTATGTTTGTAGCCATTTTCTTTTATAACCATTTCATATTTGTACTATTACAAATATAAATAGTTATTGTCTATTTATCTTATGCTTAAGTGTTTTATTACACTTAAATGTTTTATTTAGCAAAAATAAAACATTTATAATTTGTAACCATTTTCTGAAACTTTTAAGTTTTTATTAAATTTCAAAGAAATTATTTCACAATCATGAAAATTTGCAACTAAAGTCATAATCACAATGCAAGGAAAAAAATTATTTAAAAATATTTCCTCTTTAATTTACAAATGGATTTTATATTTTCTATGAAATTAAATTCATAAATTTGCTTTTCACAGTTTATGTGACTAGAAAATTGCCTTTCAAATTTTACTGTGATAATTCTTGTTGAACTATTTCCCTATATAACATATAAACATTAAAAGATAATAGTTTTCAACTGTATCTTGTGACTATCGAGCATTTTCATTGGTCAAAAAAAATTACATTATTCATTATGAATCTTATTTCGCAAAGAAAAGTCTTATTTCCCAAAGAAATCTTTGGCAGTCATCTGGGATAACTGCTCATACTTATACATAATTATTTGCATATATACATACCTTATTTGACGTATTTATCAGTAACATTTATTTATCATCCCTTTTAATTAATATTGCTTTTTTATTATTGTCTTTATTACTGTTTTTAATTATTGCATTTTCGATGTTGATTATGATTAAAAATTAAAGCCTTGAAACAAAAAGTGCTATTGTGTTTAAATGTAACCGCATACCATTAACATTTTACCATTAATACACTCAGTTCCCGTTTTACGATTATAAAATAATAAGTAAAATTTACTTTAATAATAAATTTCGTTTAAAATTATTTTCGATCAAAGTCTGCCTTTAATATAATGAATCCGAAATGATTATTTAAAACTTTTAAAATATTTTTGAACGATGATTAAATAATTTCTTTGATGAAAAACATTTAACAGATTTTTGCAGAAGCTGAAAATTGAAAAAAAAAATGACCTCCAAATGCAGCAATAATAATCGGGAAGAATCAACTTCATACTACTCGACTCCAGAAGCAAATAATAACTCTGTCGCTGCAAATAAATGTAAACGTAATTAAGAATTTTGGCATCTTTTTATTGAGTAATTTTTAATTTTGATGCAGCTATCTGCTTATCATTATGAAATAAAACAAAATTGTGAAGCAATCGTAGGGAGAGTGCCGGATTAAGCGTAGTATTTACCCCGAAAAAATTTTAATTTTCTCTAAAAAAATAATGGCAATCTAGTGTCATATTTAAAATTATCATCTTAGTCGCCGATTTGATCTCCCTTTTGACTAGTATCTAGTCACTAGATGCTGGTGGGGAGCTGGAGGGCGTAAATTCAATCCTCAACGGCTGTTTTGTCGGTAGTCAGCCGTATGCACACCGAGACATGCAACTGAAAAGACGAGTCCCGGATTAAACGCACGCGGGGCCCTAGGTCATTAAAATTTTTGGGGCCCTTAGATTATATTTTTTTTTTCTCGTATATTTTTTATTTATTCAAATATAAAAGTATTTATATAACTTTTAATTTAAGAAAACATATTTAAAATAAAAATAAATAATAATAAATTAAATTTTACTTTATTTTGTTAAATTAGAACTAAAAAATAATCATAACATTTTATAATCATAGCATTTTATAATCATAACATTTTATAATCATAACATGTATATTTGAAATTAGTTTTCTTTAAAAAATCATTGTTTCTCTTAATTTTTTAAATTTATTTTCAAAAAATCCATTTTAAGAGGGCCCCTAATCATTGGGGGCCCCAGGCCATGGCTTAGCCTGGCCTAATGGGTAATCTGGCACTTCGTAGGGATTGGTGAGTGAAGCGAGCAGAGGATGGCGTAAGTACGCCTAAAGCAGGAAAATAGTTGGAGTAGCTAGATATTAGAAAATTCCTAAACTATTAACACAAGCAACATAAAAGGAGCTTTACAAAAACATAAAAGATCTTCGACGATTAGCATAATTTACAATTATAACGCAAAAGTGAACCAAAGCAGTATATTAGTAAACAGTTTTGACCCATGGTTTGGTTGACTTTTGAATTAAACTTGTTTAAACGTTTTAAAAAAAATTGAGTTTGGTATTGTGTCACAAATTTAAAAAAAAATATTTGTGTGAATTCAAAAAAAAAAAAAATTACTTTATACCGAACATGAATTAAAAATATATAATTCGAAAAATCTTGTCCAAAATCTACCTACATATGAGTTACATTTGTAACAAATCAATGTTAAGTCTTATCTAATTTTAAGTATCCTTCAAAAGAAATTTATTTTATTAATCATTTCGAGTAATGATTTCATGCTGTAATTTTTATTTTAATTATACACGTCAGAAGGTATGAAGTTTCACTAATTTATTAAGATGTTAAGTAGGAAGATGTTTCTTCCTCTAAAGTAGGAAGATGTTTCTTAATATATTATTTGCTAATAAAAATAAAAGTCGAAATTTATGCAAAAACTTTACTTTTCTAAGATTAAATTCCCGTCTTATTTGCGAAAATAAACATCATGAAACCGGTTTTATTTGTCTAAACCCGAAGACATTTTCAATCTTTAATATAGCTGAGAAAGAAACTTCCTCACCACGAAATTCCAAAAAAATGTAAACAGGAAAACGGTGGTTAGAAGAGTTTTTATTAGTTAACCATTCCCTTAACTATAATCTAAACAGAGGCTTTTAAGGGACGTTAAACCGCAGCGTTTTTTTACCCTCGCTTTTGAATGGTGTTCAGTCACTTGAAACTGAACACAATTTATTAATTAAGTGTTGCTATTTTCT